CCGTATGTAGACACTACCCTGCACCTCTGCTCCTGCGGGTGGCTGCGGTGTGAAGTCGGGATCGACTGTGTAACCGTGCTCGAAGAGTGCTGTGAGAAGTGGATGGCCGGCAGTGACTGTGAGGCTGGCGAGCTGGCAACTAGGGCGAGTGAGCGGATCTGCTGGGTTGCGAACGCCTGGCTTGTACTCTATCCTGTAATGGAAACTCCCCTCCATGAACTCCATCCATCTAGCCTGGCGACGACTCAGCTGCGGCTGCGACTTGAGAAAGCGAAGCGAGCAATGGTCTGTGCGTATAACACTATCTGCCCCCTCTAGGTAGCACCTCCACACCTTATATGCATGGATGATCGCGAGCGCCTCCTTGTCGTGTATGGGGTAGTTCAATTCCGCTCCCCTAAGCTTACGCGACTCGTACGCGATCGGCTGCAACCCGCGTCCCTGGTCCTGAAGAAGCACTGCTCCTATGGCCCGATCTGATGCGTCGGTCACTACAACGTATGGGCGAGTGGGATCTGGGTACGACAGTGTCGGTGAAGACGTGAGCGACTGTTTCATCTGCTCGAACGCCTGCTGCTGCGCTGGACCCCAATCGAAATCTACGCCCTTCCGAAGTAGGTCGGTGAGTGAACTAGCGATCGATGCGTAACCCTGAACGAAACGACGATAGTAATTGGCGAATCCGAGAAATCTCTGCAACTCCTTGACTGAGGTCGGTGCTACCCAATCCTGTACTGCTGCGATCTTCTTCGGATCGGTCCTAATGCCACTAGCGGATACGACGTGTCCAAGGAACTCGACCTCGGGGAGAAAGAATTCGCACTTCGACTGCTTAGCGTACAGCTGCTCCCTCCGTAAAACCTCGAAGACCTTCTGCAAGTGCTGCATGTGCTCCTCTTTCGTCTTGGAGAATATTAGGATGTCGTCTAGGTAAACTACAACGAACGAACCTTGGAACTCGGAGAGGACGGTGTTCATGAGCGTTTGAAACGTCGCTGGGGCGTTGGTCAATCCGAACGGTAGAACCCTAAACTCATACAACCCCTGCTTTGTACGAAATGCCGTCTTGTGCTGGTTCTCTGGAACTACACGAATCTGATGGTAACCCGAACGAAGGTCGATCTTTGAGAAGACTCTAGCGCCCTGCACTGCATCGAGAAGATCCTCTACTCTCGGCACCGGGAATCTATTCTTGATGGTGGCGGCGTTCAGTGCGCGGTAATCTATGCACATCCGTATTCCTCCGTCTTTCTTAGGCGCGAACAGGATCGGTGCTGCCCAAGGCGATCTAGATGGCTGTATGAACCCCTGCGCGAGAAAGTGCCTAACCTGCTGCGTCATCTCCTCTGTCTCTGCTGGACTCAACCTCCACTGCGGCTTCGCTACTGGCCTGCTCCCCGGCTCCAACTCTATTCGATGGTCTACTGCTCGGCTGGGAGGTAACCCTGGGGGCAACTCGTCGGGGAAGACGTCTGCGAACTCTGCTAATAGTGCACTCACCTCAGCAGGAAGAGACGCCTTCTCACCAACTGCTGCACTCCCTCCTTTCCCCTCCTCAGCTTCCACCTCCTCGAGGAAAACCGCAAAGATCCGTGCCGCTCGCTTCACCAGCTGCCGCACACGAACAGCATTGATGATGGCTGTGGAGGATGTGGCCCCATCACTCCACTGTGGCAGCTCCCGGAACTCCCCGTCTACCTTGACGCTACAGCTTCCCTGAGCCCAATCAAACTGAGTACTAACCGTCCGTAGCCAATCCCTACCGGAGATGAAGTTGTAACCGTCCAGCGTCGCAGAGTCGAAATCACGCCTAACTGTGATCGGTCCTAGCATTACGCGCATCTTGCGAATGATCGGTCCTATGTGGAGCGGCGTCCCATCTACCATGCGAGCATCCTTGAAGTTGACTGCAGAATCTGCTTCGAGATGGATGCGACTAACAAGCGATGATGAAACGAACGAGTGGCTAGCTCCGCTATCTACGAGAATCTTAACCGGAACTCCGCGAAGCTTCCCTAGAAGCACGACTGGTCGGTCAACAGTGTCTACCTCGTTCTCCGTAGATGACTGCTGCAAAGCCGTCTCCTCTACGTTGGTAGACGTGGCGGGTACGGGAACCTCCACACCAGCTAGCGACCCGCTATCTACTGGTGGTTTCCGTTTCCCTGCTGCCGCTCCTTAAGCTGTGGGCAGTCCCGCTTCATGTGTCCCGGCTTTTTGCAGTAGTGACAGTTCCCCTTAAATCCCGTTTTCTGTGAGCCGTCACTGTTAACTGCACCAATCTCCATGGGCGATGGTCCGTCCCTCGATCGAGCGTCGTTGATCGGTCTGTTGTATCCCCTATCGCGATCGTCACGACCCCGTCGGCTTCGTACTGCGTCGACGCGTTCTGCGGCTGCGACAACTGACTCGAAGGTGGACAATCCGTGAATCGCTATAACTTCCGCTATGTCCGGCTTCAACCCTTCGAGGTAGCGATCGCGCATCTCTGCTTCCGTGATGTCATCTATTTCGTTGCAGATGCTCAAGAACCATCGTGTGTACTCCTGGACGTTTCCTATCTGTCGGAAATGACGCAGACGCTTCCTAGCAGCTTCGGAGGCATTCACCAAGTCGAACCTACTTTTCAGCGCCGCTTCAAATCCTTCCCATGTCGTCGGAACCGTGGTAACACCCAAAGCTAAACTCCCTAAGCTCGAGGTTGCAGCTGCATGCCCCACGCCCTGTTGATGCCCGTCTGTCTGAGCCCTTCTTACAGCAGTTTGCGTGAGTTGGCGCCACCACTCCAAGGCCGGGCCCCTCAGCAGCGTAACGGCATACTCGATCCGCTGCTGCGCGTCCGCCTCTTGCACCCCGCTCGCGGCGAAGTAATTGTTGAGTATGAAGAGCCACGTCCGCACGTTCGCGTCGCGTTGACTTGGGTCGAACGACTCGGGTTTCTGCGGCTTGAGTGCGCTTCGACGTTCCGGCAGCGCTTCCGCGCCAGTCGACGTGTTGGGTGCAGGAGATGGTGCGGCATGACCATGAGAAATTGACGCGAATTCACGAAGCTGTTGCATTTCAGCTCGTACCTGACGATTTTCCAACGTCAACTGTTCGAGTTGGCGCATGAGTTGAGCAAGCGTGTTGCCCATATCGTTGGGGAGAGCGTTCATGATCTCGTCCATGTTGGCTCGACGACTCCAAGTCTGCAAGTCGGCACCGCGGGACGATGACGTCGTAGTCTCGTCGTCGACGGTCGCTCGTTGGAAGTCTCTCCCCACGAAGGCTCCTGATACCAAGTGTTAGGCCCGACGGCCTAAGTCCGCTAAAGAATTAGCGAGGTCGACTAAGTCGAGGATGAAACGCGGCGGAAGACTTTGGCGAAAGAACTATTGGCGAAATAGGCGAAGAAGTTACTGAGTAATTGAAGAAGAGTTGAATGAGAATTGATTGATATTGGTGGATACAAGCAAGGATGATATAGCATGCAAGGTCGAATGTCGGAAAGTACTTCGTGGGACTAGAAAGTAGAAGCAAGAAAAGTAGAGTGCCATGTGGCACTAGGAAATCCAAGAAGATAAGGATAAGGATGGGGTTGGGAGTTACTGTGCAAAGTGAACAGTAAAACCCCCTGTAACAGCAACATTGATCTATACACATTCGGGTCACTTTTTGTACAACATTGATCTCACCATCTGCTGCCGTGATTATTCACGCAATTTTTGGCTTAGGAGGATTTTCCAAAGTTTCCGATAGCATATCTGGCTTTTCATTTACACTAGCTTTAAAGGGGCTGGGTCCCAAAAGAATGACATTAGTATCTGATGGCATAGCGTAATTCAGGTTTCATGCCATCATCAAAGTGTTCCTGGTTTCATCCTGGATATTCTTGTATTGAGGTGCTCATCGCATTAGCCAATAATTTCGTGCCGCAACTTCAGGCGATTCGCCCAGATGTGTGAGCTGGCTGGAAGTTCTGCAGAAATGCTTTCGATGCCCTGGTTCCGCCGAACGTGAAGTTTCTTCAGAGCGCAAAAGAGGTGCGGAACAAGCGTGCGAGCCACGAGCACGCTGAACAAAGTGGTTTGGCTTGGTCGGTGTGGTGGAATACCCAAGGCCGAACCTAGGGACTACCATCGTGTCGTCGTCGTCATTTTCTTTGCCGTGACGGGATAACCTATTTCCCACTCTCATCCCACTCGTCACAACTCTCCCTTCACTTTTGGCTCTGTCTGGTCCGGTCCTCCAAGCAACCATGCGCATTGCATTACAACAAGCCTGTGATTCACGAGCAAGTCACTTCCTAGCAGCTGTTCCTGACTCATTTGCTAACGCAATCGTTGCTTGAGAATCTCAGAGCCTGTGCTTTTCGCGGCAATACTTTTAATTCGTTGTTCTTCTTGCAACCAGAGCTTGTATCAAGTCTTCCATTGCTTACCACAAGTTTCTACCTACAGAGAAGTACCAAATAGTGCCAACACGTAAGCCAGACCTTAAGCCAGTACAGAAACCACGCCGCTATGGCAGGCTACGATGCTGCAACGAGCGAACGACCGTCTCAGACGACCGTCAATCCTACACCAAAGTCTGTCAGAATGTGGGACGTTTTCCGTCCGCACATCCTGGATTGGGTCGTCTTCGTCCTCATCACCGCGGGGTCCATCGCCCTCGACTCCGTTCATCCCTTCCAGCAATTCGTTAACGCCGATTACATGCAAAAGTACATGTACCCGTTAAAGCCCGACTCCGTACCATTTTGGGCCGTTCCGGTGAGTTCAGGTACCTCTGCCTCTCGACGTCTCGCTTCTGGGTTTTATTTTCTATTGCTATTATGGGTAGAAGACGCGAACGTTTAACCTCTCTTTTCCGAAATAAAGGGCCTTGAAGTTCCATAATGTCCTCAGTGTTGGGCTAATTGTAAAATAAATCTCTACAATGATGTTATCTATCCTTATAATGCTCGTCGTATCCCTCTCCATCCTCATCAGGTTTACGCGTTTGGGTTTCCATTACTGGCGATGACCGTGTCGTTCATCCTGCGCCGCGACTTCATCGACTTCCACAGCTCGCTGCTAGGTCAGTTGTGATCAGCCAGGTCAGTTGTGATCAGCCAGGTCAGCTGTGATCAGCCAGGTCAGCTGTGATCAGCCAGGTCAGCTGTGATCAGCCAGGTCAGCTGTGATCAGCCAGGTCAGCTGTGATCAGCCAGGTCAGCTGTGATCAGCCAGGTCAGCTGTGATCAGCCAGGTCAGCTGTGATCAGCCAGGTCAGCTGTGATCAGCCAGGTCAGCTGTGATCAGCCAGGTCAGCTGTGATCAGCCAGGTCAGCTGTGATCAGCCAGGTCAGCTGTGATCAGCCAGGTCAGCTGTGATCAGCCAGGTCAGCTGTGATCAGCCAGGTCAGCTGTGATCAGCCAGGTCAGCTGTGATCAGCCAGGTCAGCTGTGATCAGCCAGGTCAGCTGTGATCAGCCAGGTCAGCTGTGATCAGCCAGGTCAGCTGTGATCAGCCAGGTCAACTGTGATTGGCGAGGTCAGCTGTGATCAGCCAGGTCAGTTGAAATCAACCAGGTCATTTTGTTTTTTCCTCTCCTTGGTCACTTGTGATCCGTCGCTACTGATATATAATCTCCAAGCAGCGCATGTCGTGGCTCACTCCCTCCCTCCCTCCCAACCCGCTCACGGCACACAAAGGCGGCAGGTGTCTTTCGTACTTACCCTCACAATTTGTCATCAGCTCCTCCTCTTGCCCTCAACTCGCATCCCTTCTCACAGGCCTCGCCCTCCTCATGCCGTTCTGCTTCAACACCCCATCTCCCTCTTCGCTTTTCCAGCTTTAGGCTTCAATTGGGCACCCCCTCTCTCCCAAACCCTCTCCCCCAAACCCTCTCCCCCGTTCTCCCCCATTCTCTTCCCCCCATTCCCTTGCCCATTCCTTGTCCCTCATTCCCTTGGCCTCATTCCCATTACCCTATCCCCTTGCGCCATCACCTTGCACCAATTCCTTTCCCTCCCTGAACCCCATTCCCTTTCCCCCACCCTCTGCCTCCTGAGTCGGCCCTTGCCTTCAATCCCTCACCCCACCCCCTCTGCCTCCCCTCCCAGGGTTCGTTTTCAACTGTGCGACCACCTTCCTGCTCACCAACGCGCTCAAGGTCTCCATCGGCCGGCCTTAGGCCTCTGCTCCCAGTCCCTCATCCCCAGTCCCTCGCTCCCATCCCATTCTTCTCCCCGTGCCTCGCCACCAGGGTTCGTGTTCAACTGTGCGACCACCTTCCTGCTCACCAACGCGCTCAAGGTCTCCATCGGCCGGCCCCGGCCACACTTCTTCATCGTCTGCTTCCCCTCGGGCGTTCCTGTGAGTCCGGCTCTTTAACAAATGCACAAGTCAATATGGCCTTTGACTTCTTGGTCAACTAAGAAGTCAACCCGGCCACACTTCTTCATCGTCTGCTTCCCCTCGGGCGTTCCTGTGAGTCCAGCTCTTCAGCAAATGCACAATCTGGGCGCACCTGTTTGTTCTTCCCACTTTAAGATTTTTCCGAGCCATGGCCATGGGTATGATATCGGGGTGATAGGTGCGAGTCACAAAAGTGTCTTCTGAGACGCTACAACAGTGCATCGAGAAATCGCCTCCTGAGAACTTTTGAATCGACTCAAAAGTCATCCAGAAATCGCCTCCTGAGAACCAGCAGATGACCTCTCAATGCACCACTCAGTGCAGCGCTTAGTGCAGTGCCATTTGAGTCGACTCAATAGTCATCCAGAAATCGCCTCCTGAGAACCACCAGATAACCTCTCAATGCACCACTCAGTGCAGCGCTTAGAGCAGTGCCATTTGAGTCGACTCAATAGTCATCCAGAAATTGCCTCCTGAGAACCAGCAGATAACCTCTCAATGCACCACTCAGTGCAGCGTTTAGTGCAGTGCCATTTGAGTCGACTCAAAAGTCATCCAGCTGGTGTCTTCTGACACGTTACGTTACAGTGCATCCAGAAATTGCCTTCTGGGAGCTCAATGCACCATTACCTCTCAATGCACCATTACCTCTCATACAGCGCTTAGGGTGGTGCCCGCAGTTTTGTCTCTTTCATCTCCCCTTCTTTCGCCCCATCTCTTCTCCCTCAAACCTGCCAGGGCATGGCAGGTGTACGGCAGTGATGGCAACGCACAGTGCAACGGCTCGTCATCAAGTGTCATGGAGTCCAAACTCAGCTTCCCCAGCGCTTTCCCCAGCGCCGTAGCACTTTCCCCAGCGCCGTAGCACTTTCCCCAGCGCCGTAGCACTTTCCCCAGCGCCGTAGCACTTTCCCCAGCGCCGTAGCACTTTCCCCAGCGCCGTAGCACTTTCCCCAGCGCCGTAGCACTTTCCCCAGCGCCGTAGCACTTTCCCCAGCGCCGTAGCACTTTCCCCAGCGCCGTAGCACTTTCCCCAGCGCCGTAGCCCTTACAAGGCAACTCTATGATCTCCCCTCCCCTCCACTTGCTACTGCACTGCCTGCCAGGTGTATGGCAGCGACGGCAACGCAAAGTGCAACGGGTCGTCCTCCAGTGTTATGGAGTCGAGAGTCAGCTTTGAGACGTCTCAAAACTAGAGTCCCGCCTCCAGTGAGACCAACCCCCCTCCCCTCCCCTCCCCTCCCCTCCACCTTCCACTGTACTGCCTGCCAGGTGTACGGCAGCGACGGCAACGCACAGTGCAACGGGTCGTCATCCAGAGTCATGGAGTCGAGAGTCAGCTTCCCCAACGCTGCAACACTTTCAGGGCAACGCTCCCTTACCCTGGAGCTCCCATACCCGCTCTCTTCTCCCCTTCACCTGTCACTGCACTGCCTGGCAAGTGTATGACAGCAGTGGCAACGCGCAGTGCAACGGGTCGTCATCCAGTGTCATGGAGTCGAGAGTCAGCTTCCCCAGCGCTGCAACGCTTTCAAGGCGACGCCCCCAAACCTGCTCCCCTCTCCCATACCTGCTGCCTGGCAGGTGTATGACAGCAGTGGCAACGCGCAGTGCAACAGGTCGTCCTCAAGTGTTAAGGAGTCGAGAGTCAGCTTCCCCAGCGCTGCAACGCTTTCAAGGCAACGCTCCCTTACCCTGGACCTCCCATACCCGCTCTCTTCTCCCCTTGACCTGCCCACTGCACTGCCTGCCAGGTGTATGACAGCAGTGGCAACGCACAGTGCAACGGGTCGTCATCCAGTGTCATGGAGTCGAGAGTCAGCTTCCCCAGCGGCCACACCTCCAGTGAGACCAACCCCCCTCCCCTCCCTTCCCCTCCCCTCTCCCCTCCCTTCCCCTCCTCTCTCCCCTCCCTTCCCCTCCCACTCCTCTCCCCTTCCCCTCCTCTTTCCCCCCCCTTTCCCTCGTCGCTCCGCCCCGCTCCCCTCCTCTCTCCCCTCCATTCCCCTCCGTTTTCCCCTCGCCTCCCCTTTTCTCCAACTCTCCCTCTCGCCTCTCCTCTCTCCCCTTCTCCTCTCCTCTTCCCACAACGATCCCTCTCCACATGCAATCCCTACCCATCTCGTGCAACCCCTATGCTCCCCCTCTCCTCTTCTTAAAAATGTACACCCATCGTTCACATCCCGTCTCTTCTCCTCGTTTCCCACTTGACTTTTGAGTCGACTCAAAAGTCAAAAGTCAACTTTTGAGTCGACTCAAAATGTACACCCATCGTTTGCATCCCGTCTCTTCTCCTCGTTTCCCACTTTCCCCATTCACTTCCACCCACGCGTTTCCCCCTTCCCATCCCCTTCCCCTGCCCTGTGTCCTTTGCAGGTTTGACCTATGCAGCGCTCTTCCTGGCAGCCAAGCTGCAGATTATTCAGCGCAGGAAGGAGGGGGCAGCTGTGGCGGAAGGGGCCTGATTTCATTCTCCTCTGCCCCTGCCCTGTTCCCCATTTCCTCCTTCCCATCCCCTTCCCCTCCCCAGTGTCCTTTTCGGGTTTGACCTATGCTGCTCTCTTCCTGGCAGCCAAGCTGCAGGCGTTCAGTGCAAGGGGGAGGGGGCAGCTGTGACAAATATTGTGCCTGCTTTCATTTTCACATGCCTCAAGTATACATCCTCCTCTTCCCCTGATCTGTTCCCCACTCCCCCTCTTCCCATCCTTTTCCCCTGCTGCAGTGTCCTTTGCAGGTTTGACCTATGCTGCTCTCTTCCTGGCAGCCAAGCTGCAGGCGTTCAGCGCAAGAGGGAGGGGGCAGCTGTGGCGGCTGGTGCCTTCGGCATGCTGCCTGGCGGGTGCTGCTTCCGTGGGCATCACTCGAATCGACGACTACTGGCACTTCCCATTCGACGTGTTCATCGGAGGGCTGATAGGTAGGGGAGGGCTGATAGGTAGGGCAGGGGCTGATAGGCTCACATGTGCTGTGTGCTCTTTGCGTCCCTCGAGTGGACGACTACTGGCACTTCCCATTCGACGTGTTCATTGGGGGCCTCATTGGTGAGTCAATCTCTCAGCGGCTGTTTGGTCTAGCTGTGGCGGATGGTACCGTTGGCATGCTGCCTGGCGGGTGCTGCTTCTGTGGGCATCTCTCAAATCGACACTTCCCTTTTGACGTCTTCATGGGAGGGTTGATAGGTAAGGGCTCATTGTAGGCGCGTGTCTGTTCGGGTTCGAGTGGGAGGGGGAGGGGTCACATGTGGCGGCTGGTGCCGTCAGCATGCTATCTGGTGGGCGCTGCTTCCGTGGCCGTCACTCGAGTGGACCTACACTGGCACTTCCAGTTTTGAGGCGCCTCAAAAACTATGCTGCCTGGCGGGCGCTGCCACTGTGGCCATCACCCGAGTGGACTTTTGAGGCGCCTCAAAATTGCGGGTAATGAGACGACTTTTGAGGCGCCTCAAAATTGCGGGTAATGAGACGACTTTTGAGGCGCCTCAAAACGGGCGCTGCCACTGTGGCCATCACCCGAGTGGACGACTACTGGCACTTCCCCTTCGACGTGTTCATTCGGGGGCTGATAGCTGGTCGACTGTATGAGAGCATGGGCCATAATGCTGTGTGCATGAGAGCATGGGCGCATGAGGGCATGAGAGCATGTGGGCATGAGAGCATGGGTGCATGAGAGCATGGGTGCATGAGAGCATGGGTGCATTCGGGCATGAGGGTCGGAGTTTAGTGGAGGGTTGTTTGTAGGAATCCACCACATCCCCACGGCCAGTGTAGGACTTTTGAGTTCTCTCAAAAGTCACCTCGCACGGGTGCATTCGGGCATGAGGGTGGGAGTTCAGTGGAGGGTTTTAGGGATCCACCACATCCCCACGGCCAGTGTAGGACAGTGGTTGCCGTCCACGCAGGTGCTTGTGCTGTTGTGCATCTCCTGGACCATTTTCTTCTGCTCCATGCCTTGCTTTCTTGCCTCCTAACCTCCTACGTGCCTTGCCCTCTTGCTTGAGGTTGATTTTGAGAATTCTCAAAATCAACCTCATCCATGCCTTGCTTGCTTTCCTCGTAACCTCCTTTGTGCCTTGCCCTCTTCCGTTGCATCCTTACCTCCTGCCCACTTGTGTTGCATCCCACCTTTTCGGACCAACCCTTGACTGTGCAGGTATGGTGGTTGCAGCCATCTGCTACTTCCTGCACTACCCTGCACTGTCCAACCAGAACTGTAAGTCTTGCACTGTCTTATTTGACATGGTTGACAACAGCTGAGGCGCCTCTAAAGGCAACCGCTACTTCCTGCGCTACCCTGCACTGTCCAACCAGAACTGTAAGTCTTGCACTGTCTTATTTGACATGGTTGACAACAGCTGAGGCGCCTCTAAAGGCAACCGCTACTTCCTGCACTACCCTGCACTGTCCAACCAGAACTGTAAGTCTTGCACTGTCTTATTTGACATGGTTGACAACAGCTGAGGCGCCTCTAAATGCAACCGCTACTTCCTGCACTACCCTGCTCTCTCCAACCAGAAGTGTGCATCTTACACCGACTCGTTCTACCTATTTGATATATTTGAAATATTTTAACTTGTCCCTCGTTCTCCCAGAACTTCATATTTCACACTTTTTCCTTGCACCAGACTTCCGTTGCTTTGCCACCCATCACGCAACAAGCTTTCTTGTTCCAAAACCGTTTGCTACCCTCCTCTTGCTCCGGGCATCTACCCTTGGTTGTATGATCAGGTGACATTCCGCTTCTGTCTCTCGGCCCAGATGCGGAAACTTGTCAGGTTTCATGTTGTGGGGGCAAGAGAGCTCTTGCTGCGGACCTAGAGCCCAATGAATCTAGTGGAGAGCCCACTGAACCTAGTGGAGTGTAGAGGATACAACAGGTTCTGATGTGAAATATTGTAGTTGGTAAAGCTGAGAGAAAAGGAAACCCTATCCGAGAAAGATTCTGAGGTGTTAAATGCAGTGCTGTTCATGTGGTATTGATTCCCTAACAAGAAGCTAGCGTTTGCTTCTAAATTATGCTGAGCTTTGTACCTAGTGTTACGAATAGTAATACTTGAATATTACTGTGCACTCCTCACCGCAGCAAAGAGAAGCACGCAGTATCGCGAATGAACGCGAAGCGTCAGACGGTTGGAATCGACTCGAAGCGTCAGACAGTTGGGACGCATCTGGACCGTCGGAGCAGACAGCATCAGGCAGCTGCAGGCAGGATGGTTTCGGCGGGAACAGTTTCGTAACTGTTCGCGCCGCACGGTTGGGAATGTATTTGAATAAGGGAATGTACCCCTTAGAGTACATGGCTAGCTAGGTCGTTTCATCTCCCCTGTACTCATATTTATATTTGCTGTATTTGCATGTTTTAAAATCATCTCAAAGCATTTTACATTCACTCTGCTATTTGAGGTCAAGGGCCCACCAACATCACTTCTCTGCGTGCGAACCTTCCTGAGTAGATCGTAAGCCACGATCAACTTTTGATCGCAGCATAGTATGAGAGCGGCTCGGGAATCCTTCGCACTGCCACTCCCGAAAATTACGACATTCGGAAAGTGGCGTCCGGTACACGCTCGCGTGTGAGAATGGCCGGAGGATCTGGTGGTCAGACGAATCTGATGGCTGAAGCGCAGCCCAACCCGGCTGCAACAAGCGAGGAAACGACGATGATCCCTTCCGCCGTCCTCGCACAACTGCTTCAGCCACTCACGAGCCTGGAGCAAGGACTTCAAACATTGCGGAATGGCGACGCGGGAACCTCTTCCCAACCCACTCAACCGGCGTCAAACGGCCATAACTCCGCCCCGCAAGGCTTCTCCCTAGATACGAATGGCTCAACCCCCAAGACTCCCTGTCCCAGCGATGAAGCAATTCTCTCCGCACAATTAAGGTTCTTGAGCATATCAAAAATAAAGACAAGTGTGTGCTTTGACGGCAGAGACTTTTACACCTGGAGCTTCGAGCTGGAGCTGCTGCTGCAAAACGCGCAGATTTATCATTATTTCGACGGGAGCTACTCGGGACCTGCTGAGGACACCGACGACGCTAGGACTCGCTATTATAACGAGTCCCTGATGGCGTACGGGATTCTTCTGCGTAACATGTCGCCGGCGGAGCAGCTGAACATTCGTTCATACAAGACATCGGCTGCCCCAGCCCTCGACGCTTGGCGCCACCTGAACGGCGTGTATCAGCCCAAGGACTCCGTCTCCTCGAGCCGACTACTCCAGCAACTGCTGGAAACTAAGATGACCTCAGGGGAGAAGGTCAACAGCTACATCAACCGCTGTCGGAGCCTTCGCGATCAAATCGTGAAGTTGGGAAGCTCGATTTCCGAGGAAATCTTTGTGAACATTGTGCTTCAAGGGCTTGGCCCAGAGTGGCGGCCCTGCAAGGCGCTCCTCCGACAGCAGGGGGTCATCTCGGAGGCCACCCTTTGCGCCGCCCTTCTCGTCGAACAACGGGATATGGATCAGCAGCGACCAGCGCCACGACGAGAATGCGAACGACTCGCCTTCTACGCCGACAACAATGAAGAGCGACGACCGCGGCGCCTCTACTGCAAAATCTGCAGAAACTTCGGGCATTTGGCGGATCGATGTAAGTTCCGATCTCGCCCTCGCCAGACCAATCCGAGCAACTGGCCCGGCCGACAAGACGCACGAGGCGACGTGCGTCCAGCCCAAGGGTATCAACCCCCACCCGCGCGCAATCTGAACTCAACCATTCAGCATCAGCAGCAACAGCCATCAACTGCCCCTACGCGCAACGTCATGAGCAACATGGCCATGACAGGCGAGTCACGTCGTCGCCGTGTTCGCTCACCCTCACCTGAGCCAGCACCGCACCCCATCGGCGCGTTCACCAACAACCCGTTCAGCCCGCGCCGCGACTTCAACGACGACGACGACCAGGACTGGAACCTCCCAGTCCCGCTGCTTGAAAGTCCCCCGCACATACCAGACATGCGGGTGGCGCCACTTGATTGGCTCTCGCGCGAGCAATTTCTGAAGATCGACACCCCGCACATCGTCACACCGCGATTGGCGCTGCTCGCACGTGACGACAACAAGCGCTACAACACCTGGTACCTGGACAGCTGCTGCGGCCAGCATATGGTGGGCTCCGAGCGTTACATATCCAACGCCGTCCCCACCCCTACAGTCACTTACGTCACTGTGGCGAACAACACGCGCCTGCGCGCAAGCGCACAAGGCATTGTCGTGCTTAAAGCACGTGGAAGCCGCACGCACATCACGCTTAACGATGTGCTGATCGTCCAGAATCTGCGCTTCAATCTCCTGTCCACCGCACAGCTCATGGACTGCGGCGTCGACCTCAGCACGGATCCCGCGACGCGAGACATCCTACTGCACTACGAATCGCGCAAATTTCCCCGCAGGCAGATCGGACGAGCGCACTCCGAAAATGGAGTGTATGTCCTAGATTTCGACATTCCCGACTGCAGCGGCGACTCGCACGAGTTGATTGATCTCGTGCCACTGCGCTTCGAGCACATCCACCGCAGGGATTGGAAGCACCCTGACGGCAGACCGTGGGTTCCGCATCATCCCCACCCACGCGAAACGGCGTTACACAACCCCGATCCAGATGGCGTCTGCAGGGATTGTCACACGCCGACGACTTCAACGAGCGCGATTGCCGGCCGCGGACTCGCCGCCATCGCTGAAGCAGAGCGCCACACGCCCCCAAAAGAAGGGATGTCGCAGCTCGAGCTTGAAGTTACTACCCGCGGCATTTTCGGCACGCCAGAGCATCCCCTCATCGGTCCCCCCTCACAGCACCTTCAAGGCATGCTGCGCGGAACTGGCGTCGGCACCTTTGACGCCCATGGCGAGCCGCGACCCTACACCTACAAAAAGTTTCTGGCCATCCACTCCCATCAACGCGACTCGTCGAAGAAACTCACCGTGGAGCAAGAGGAAGAATTGGCGCGCCGCGAAGCTGAGGAGCTTCGCCAGCAAAGCCTCGCAGAAGCACGTGGGACCTTCGCTTGCGCCACCTGGGGAGCTGAGGCTGAAGAAAGTGCCTCCAATGAAGGGGGGTGGGGGAGCGCTGGAGGATGGGGAACAAGCGACAATAGCGGCTGGGGTACTTTCCGCGAAGAACGAAAGGGGGGAGAGGATGAAGCTGAGGAAACACCTGCAGTCGTTCCTCTTGGTCGTCCCCCGCGTCACATCCCACTCGCACCGCCTCCTCCTGACAACCCCCCGCGTCGCGATCCATGGGACACCATCATCTGGGGCAACGAGCCGTCAACCCCGCGTCGCACCGTCTACGGACCTGCCCCTGAGCAACGCGAACCCACCTTCGTCCCTGGAACCATCCCCGGGACCAACATTCTGCTCTCTGAGATTCGCGACAGAGAGTTCTTGGCGCTGATGCTGACTACCGCACCAGAAGAAGAAGAAGCAGAGGGAGTAGCAGCAGAACCTGCTCCTGTACCTGACGAAGACCCTGAGGAAGCGCGCGCGCGCTACATGCGCACCTCCGGCTTTCGCGCTGACGATACTCTCTGGCACCAGCGCCTCGGACACCCTTCACGCGCGACGCTGAAAAACTGCATCGACGCAGGCGTCTTCGCTCCTGGGGCACTCCTGCGCCCTGATGGCTCCGAAGTGAGAGGCGCGACACATCCGCGCAACTGCACCGTCT